GCGGTGCCCCGGCGAGGCGCGGCGGGCGCTGACGCGGGGCCGCCCGCGGCATCTCTCCCCTCCCCGCAGGCTGCCCGGTGCGCGCCGCCGCCCCGCCCGCCGGGCCATGGACTCGGACGCCAGCCTGGTTTCCAGCCGCCCGTCCTCGCCGGAGCCCGATGACCTCTTCCTCACGGCCAGGAATAAAGGCAGCGGCGGGGGCTTCACGGGCGGCACCGTGTCCAGCTCCACGCAGAGCGACTCGCCGCCGGAGCTGAGCGCCGAGCTGCGCAGCGCCATGAGCGCTGCGGGGGTGGTGGTGGTGGACAAGCTGGGCTTCAAGTCCTCCTCGTCGTCCTCGTCGTCGTCGTCCTCTTCCTCCTCCAAGAAGGACAAGAAGCAGATGACGGAGCCGGAGCTGCAGCAGCTGCGGCTGAAGATCAACAGCCGGGAGCGCAAGAGGATGCACGACCTGAACATCGCCATGGACGGGCTGCGGGAGGTGATGCCCTACGCGCACGGCCCGTCGGTGCGCAAGCTCTCCAAGATCGCCACGCTCCTCCTGGCGCGCAACTACATCCTCATGCTCACCAACTCCCTGGAGGAGATGAAGCGCCTGGTCAGCGAGATCTACGGCGGCCACCACGCCGGCTTCCACCCCGCCGCCTGCCCCGGCGGCATGGGCGCGCACTCGGCGCCGCTGCCCGGCCACCCGGCGCACCCGGCCTCGCACCCCGTGCACCACCCCATCCTGCCCCCCGCCGCCGTCTCCAGCGCCTCCCTGCCCGGCTCCGGCCTCTCCGCCGTCAGCTCCATCCGGCCCCCGCACGGCCTCCTCAAGTCGCCCTCGGCCGCCGCCGCCGCCGCCCCGCTGGGCAGCGGCTTCCAGCACTGGGGCGGGATGCCGTGCCCCTGCAGCATGTGCCAGGTGTCGGCCCCGCCGCACCACCACGTCTCCGGCATGGGCACGGCCAGCCTGCCCAGATTAGCCACCGACACCAAATGAGCCCCCGGGCGGGGCGGCCCCGCCGCGCCCCCGGCGCCCCCAGGACCTACAGACGCTGCCCCGGCGGCGGCGGGAGGGGACGGAGCCGGCCCGGGGTCTGCCCCGCTCCCCGAGCCCCCGGCACGAGCAAAGCCCCGCGCACCTCCTGCGGCTTTGATTTTGCGGCGTTGCGGGAGCTGCGGAGGAGGGGAGGGCGCGGGGCCGCTGCCCGAGGGGCCAGCGCTGCCCCGGGGCTCTGGCTCGGTGTCCCGGGTTGACACTCCGTTATTCGTTCCTGCGCTCCTTCCCTCCCCTCTCCCCCCCGTTTGTACACACAGAGCCCCCCGAGCCGCTCCGGGGGGATCCCCGCCAGCCCACCCGGGGGGCTCAGCCGGGAGTGCCGGGCTCTGCCCGCTGCCGGGGCCGCCCCGGTTTTCTCTCGCCGCGGGATTTGTAAATAGACGATAAGGACGCGAGTCCGCTCTGCCTGAGCTTCCGTCCGTGCACTTGTTCTGTGTCAGCCTCATGAGTGAAAAGGGGTCGGTTCGCCTTGCTTTCCTTCCTTTTGGGTTCTTGGGGTTTGTCGGGTTGTTTTACTTTTAAGAGTATAACACGTTTGTTTCGGTTTTTTTTTTTTTTGTTTTGGTTTTTTTTGGTTTTTTTTTTACGTTCCTGCCACCTTTAACAAAGTCTGAACTCTTTAATGCTCTTTCTGTGTAGGAACTTTCACCCTGTCCGTGTTGCAATACTGAGAACTTGGGCTTGTTTCTGAAATAACAACTTTTCTTATCGCTGCCCCTCGCAGAGATTTTATCATCTGTTTATTTTTGTAAAAAAAAAAAAGCAAAAAACAAACAAAAAAGAAAAAGGAAAAAAAAGGTTGTTAATTATTTTTTTTTCTTTGTTTGGTTGAAAAAAAAAAAAAAAAAGAAAAAAAGAAAAAAAAAGTGATCCACTGTTGAGATTTTAAATAAATAAAAAAAAAAATTTAAAAATTAAATAAATCTCATTTTCCTCTTCCTCGCTGTTCCGGGGAGGCGGAGACAGATGGGGAAGGGATGGGAATATTTTAGGCGCATCCTTGAGTTTCGCGAAGTTTTTTTGTCAGTTTGCTTCGCCGGCGAATCGAAACCGTTTGAGGGTTGGGGTTTGGGGCGTTTTTTTGTTTTTGTTTTTGTTTTTTTTTCCTCATTTATTCCATTTAGAACCAGAGCGGCGAGGAAGAACCGAGCGGTACCGCGTCGGTAACGTGGAGATTTCTGCCTGCCGAACCCAGAGCCTGGCAAAAGCAAAATATGAATTAAATATTCATTCGGGGAGCGGAACCGCCCGGCTGGGCGCTGGGGAGTTCACTCCCTGCGATGGCGTCTGCGCGACTGACCTTCAGCTAAAACCCCACCAAACGAAAATCCACGCAAAAGGAAATCATTTGGGCACAACCCCAATTTATTTCCCTCCCGAACCGCTCGTGTCTGCGGCCGGGGGAGATTTTGGCGGTTCTGGACGAAGCCTTGGGGCAGGAGATGCTCGGCACAGCCGAGGAAAAGGCTGCGGTGCTCCCGAGCACGAGGGGCTCGGGGGGCTCCGGGGCGGGCTGAGCTCCCCCCGGCGAGCTCCCCACCGCTCCTGAGCGAGAGCAGCGCGCTGGCTCCAAGATTTGGGGCAGAAACACGCAATAATTCATCCTTCTGCCGGCTCGGGGGGGTCTGGGGGGCGCAGACACGGCGGGGGTGGGAGGGGGGCGGCCCGGGGGGCTCCGGCTTGCTTTGGGTTTTTTCTGCCAGCCGAGGGGGTCCCGGGGCCAGCGCTGGGTCCTTCCTCCCTCCAGCCCCTCCAGGAGAGGGCAGGGGGCTGGGGAGGAATGCCCCCCACCCTGGCAGCGGGGATGGCGATGCCCCAGCCCCGCCGAGTGGGTGCCGGGACTGACACAGCCCGGGGGACACACGGTGGGCACGGCAGGTGCCTTCCCCCGGCCCGGGGGGCTCCGGGGGTGCCCCCGGCTTTGGTGCCCACCCCGGGTGTGGGCTCGGTGCCGCTCTGCGGCTCTTGAGGCACAAACCCCGGCTCTGCCTCGTCCCGCCGCGCACACAGCCCCAAACAAGCAGCGGGCAGGTGCCCGCCAGCACCCGGGGACGGTGCCCAGCACGGGAACCTTGTGTCAGGCTGCGCTGCCCGCCGGGGACCCGCCAGGGACCGGCCAGGGACCGGCCAGGGCCACCGCGGGGGACCCCGAGCCGAGCGCCCCGGCAGCGGGACGGGAGCGGCGCTCCGGCACGGAGCCCCCCGGGCCCGCTGGGCCCCCGGAGCCCCGGCAGGGCTGCCCGACACCCCCCGCACCCCCAGCCGCGGGGAGGCCGCGAGAAGCAGAGCAGCTTTCCCAATTAGCGCAGCGGCGGCGAGGGAGCGCTGCCGCCGAGGAAGGGCAGGAGCAGGTGAGAATTAGAGGGAGCATCATTAGGAGCTGCTCTTTGTCTCTATTAGAGGCAATAATTAGCACCCTGACAGATGCAAAAGTCGGCAGCGGCCAGAAGCTGGTAAATCCTACTCGTCTGCCTGCCCGGCTCGGCCCGGAGGGGGCTGGCGCTGGCGCTAACAGGTGGCCCCGGGGAGCCCCGACGGCCAGGGGGGGACATCGGGGACACGGCTCTTCTGCGGAGGCCAAAAGCAGCGTGGGCAGCATCGCCCCCGCCCCAAATGCCCGCCAGGCCGAGGCCGAGCATCCTCCCCGGGAGCGGGGCTGGCACCGGGGCTGGCACCGAGCCGTGCTGCCCGAACCCCCCCTCACGGGCTACCTGCGAAGGAGCTCGGCCGTCCTGCAGCCCCCCGGAGCTCCCCATATGTTCCCCCCGGCCCCGCCCGCAGCCGGGTAAGGTTACGGGTGGGGGGCGGCCCATCTGCTCCGCGGGGCTCCGCCCGCAGCCCCAGGGACCGCACCGACCCCCCCTCCATCCCCCACAGGGGTTTTTAGCCGCTCTCGGGTCTGTCGCGACCTGTCCCTGCACATCCCGGAGTCTGAGCCGGCTCCCTCCTCACCCCTCACTCCTTTCCTTCCCCTTCCCCACCCCCTCCCTGCTTTCCCCTTCTCTCTCTCTCCTTTTTCTCCTTCTGTTCCCCCCGAGCCCCCGGCCCAGAAGGGGAGAGAGGGGCAGGCAGAGCTCACCAGGGACTGCAGGGACAGAACGGGGAGCAAGGGGAAAACAGAGCAGGGAAATTCAAGTTCAACATTGGCAGTGAGGAATTGTTCCCTGGCAGGGTGGGCAGGGCTGGCACAGGGTGCCCAGAGCAGCTGGGGCTGCCCCTGGATCCCTGGCAGTGCCCAAGGCCAGGCTGGGCACTGGGGCTGGAGCAGCCTGGCACAGGGGAAGGTGTCCCTGCCATGGCAGGGGGGCACTGGGTGGGATTTGGGGTCCCTCCAACCCATTCCATGATCAATCAGCACATTTCAGGCAGAGACCAAAAGGCATCCAGCAAACCCAAGAAGGGGAGATTTTCCATGTCTCACTTCAACAGGGGATTTCTTCAACCTCTGCATGGAAAATATCAAGCCAAGGTGACCAAAATCTGCTGTAAATCCCTGACTGAGGCATTCCTGTCCTCTAGGGCACCAGCTCTGCTTCTGCCAGTGCAGTCCTGTGGGGTGGGATGGGATGGGATGGGATGGATGGGATGGGGATGGATGGATGGATGGATGGATGGATGGATGGATGGATGGATGGATGGATGGGAGCTGCCAGAGCCCCTGCACAGGGCTGCAGGATCCCTGCCCTTTCCCTGGGATGAGGTTTCAGAGTGAGCACCCACAGCCCCCTCAGGACCTTCCTAAAACCAATCCATCCCAGAAAAACCTGGTTCTGTTCTGTCTCTACCTCTGCCTGGGAGCCCCTGGCAGGGGGAGGTTCACAGGTCCCACTCACCTCGTGAGAGCCCCACCACGCTGATATTCCTGGGCCAGGCTGCCCCGGACACCCCTGCAGTGCCCCCAGGGCAGGGTCAGGGTGCTGGGGGGGACAGGGGTCACTCCAGGGACAACCCCGGGCTCCTGTTTCAGTGCTCTGGCTTTTCCCCTTCCAGAGGGGAGGGGCTGATGTCCCTGTGCTGTCTGATGGCCCTGGGGACACTGCTGTGACAGGAGCCAGCAGCCCCAGCTGAGGCCAGCAGCCCCTGGAGTGGCAGGGCAGGCTGTGGAGCTGTCCCTGGCAGAGGCTTCTCCATCTGTGTGGGACAGGGATCTCCAGGCCTGGGACTCAGATCATCCCAAACGCTCAGGTGCAGCTGAGGGATGGATTTTCCAGAGCTACCCTGAAATCCCAGAAGTTTGGGGTTGGCAGGGACCTGTGAGCCCAGCCAGGCCAGGCAGGGCCACCTGCAGCAGTGACAGGAACGTGCCCAGGCTTTGGGATGTCCCCAGACAGGGAGACTCCAGCCCCTGCCTGGGCAGCTGCTCCAGGGCCCTGCCCCTGCAGGGAAGGAAGTTCTTCCTCAGGCTGGGCTGGAATTGTTGTGTTTTAGTTCCTGGCCATTGCTCCTTGTCCTGCCGCTGGCACCAGCACCCCCAGGAGCTCCCAGCTCCCTCCAGGCCACCCTGCAAACCTGGCTTTCCATGGGAGGATTAGGTGGGAAGGGTTTTTCCGAAGTTTTTCCCAAAGCCTCACTCCTGAGAGGCCTTTCCCACCCCACAGCAGGCAGGAGCAGGGTGGAAGTGACCCCTGGGCTCTGCCAGCTCTCTGGGCATCCCGGCTCACCCAAGCAGAATTTGCCACTGCAGGCATTAAATATTTTTACCAAAATGTGTTGAGGGGAGGCAGAGGCTGGTGATGGCAGGGGGGCCACGAGGCTCTGCCAGCCCCGTCTCTGCAGAAGGGCACAAAGTGCCCGAGTCCTGCTGGCTCCCTGTCACAACTCCCAAAGTTCACTCGTCAGGAAGAATCCAGCTTTAAGTACTGGAACAAGGAACTGCAGGAACGTGGATCAGTTTTTATAGGAGACACATCTCAAAACCTCTCCCAAGTGAATGAGATCCAAATAGTCTGGAAAACTGTGGAAATTTGCCCACTTTTTAAACTTGTGGCGTTTGCATCACCGAGGAACACAAAGTGGGAACACCCTGGCCCACAGCAGAATAAAAAGACAAATTGAGGAGAATCTTCCATGGAATTTTATGAGGTGTCCATCAAACAAAGTTATTTATTATCAGAAGTTATGATAAGGAAAAGAGGCAGCTCGTTAAGAAAAATTAAATAGAAACCTCTTGGCACATTTGTCTGACAAAGCATTCTCCTGGGAAGTGTGGTGGGATCAGGAGACTCCTCAGCAGATCCTTCACTCAGGGGCTCTTTCCTGACAGGAAAATGAGCACGGGAATGCTGGTCCTGGTCAGCACAGCAGAGATTCATTGACCACAAACATGGATCATTCACTGATGCCAGGAATATTTTATTTATCCTGAAAACTGGGAACTCAGCTGGGCTTTAACCAGCATAAGGAAAATGTTCTCTTTTTTTAAAAACCTCTCCAAAATTCCAGATTTGGCAGGATCTGGGGGCTGCCCTGTGCAGGGCTGGCAGTTGGGCTCTGGTGATCCTTGTGGGTTGGGATGTTCTGTAATTCCCTGGTTCTCCTGGCCTTTGAATACTGATATTAATATTCCATAATTCCCTGGTTCTCCTGGCCTTTGAATACTGATATTCCATATTGATATTCCATATTGATATTGATATTCCATATTGATATTCCATATTGATATTGATATTCCATAATTCCCTGATTCTCCTGGCCCTTTAATATGGATATTTCATATTGATATTGATATTCCATAATTTCCTGATTTTCCTGGTCTTTGAATATTGATATTGATATTCAGTATTGATATTCCA